ATGCGATTAGCAACCTTAATTTGCTCTTGGCTACTAGATTATCTTTCCAAGAGCCCCGGACAGGAAGAAGCCAGTAATTCAACCTCTGCTCTGCTCCTGTAATAATGGCTCCTCAGCAGAAAGGCAAAGCCGCATCCCACCCCAGGTCCTCCCCACCACCCAGGCAGGCGGAGAGGCCTGCACCTACAGGCACGTGAGGCGTGGTCGAACACGCACATGTGCTCCGGGGCCAGTGGGCAGGCCTCACCAGGTGAGGACACAGTGGGCTCTGCCTGCCACAGGGTCCCAACCCTCAGGCAAGGTGCCAGGTAGACAAGGTAAGTGGGAAGTCAAAGCCCTCTCTTTGCTGACAGTGCAGCATTCCCTGCCTTGAAGCTGGAAAATGAGGACAGTGGCTTACCTCGCACAGTTTGTGAGGACGAGCTCGGCTGCAAGCTGTCTGCCACAGACTGTCTTGGTGGGTGTGTCTGTGACCAGGAGCGAGGTAAAGGGGCTGGGGACAGGGGACAGAAGGACAGGCCTAGAGGAAACTATTGCAGTCCCCTCTTCTCCAAAGAACAGTTAGGCTGGCTGGGACTTCCCCCAAAGCCCTGGCCACATGGAATTTTTTCCCTGCTCACCAGTCTGCTGCTCATTCACGCAAGAGAAAACAGAAAGCAGGAGATTCCTAAGAAAATGGGTCAGCTGCTAGGGGCAGGGTGAACTGGCACCCATGGGCAGTGCCCTGAGGGGCTAGGCTACCAGCTGCCTCTCCAACCCCGCACCCTTTCCCATCTTTCCTGGGACCCAGCCCTTCCATCCTCTGGGCTGCCCTGAGTGACAGGCAATGGGCGTCAGAGCCATGGGAGCAAGACAGACCTACTGTCAGCATTCCCAGGGGCTCGCTGCATTTGTCCCCAACTCAGGCTTTCTCTCAGGGATTTCAGCCATCCTTAAATCTGGAGCCTGGGCTGAGCCCCCAACTTTGGAAACTTCTGGGCTGCCTAAACTCAGGTGCAGAGCTAAGGATAAGGGAAGGAAGGCATCTGCTCTGAGTCTAGTCTTGCTGCCACCCACGGCACTTGGAGAGGAGTGACTCCCCACTTCGTGCCCGCAGACAGACGGCCCCTGTCCTGCTGCATCCCACACAGGTGCATATAAACCACATAAGCACACACAGGCATGCACGCACATGTGCACACACAGATACACACACGCACACACCTCCAGACAGCTTGCACCAATTACATCTCTTCTCACAATTCACAGCCATTTTTCACACAAGATGCTTAACCCATCCTGGGGAGCAGATGGAAGAGAATGGCTCCCTGAGCCCCTGGGCCCCATTCTGAGGAGGCCACAGGATGGGGGAAGAGGGGAGGAGATGTTAGTGGAGAAGTGTGGAAAATCTCAGGCCTAGCCCCCTTTGGGGTTTGTCTCCCTGCCTTGACTCCCTGGGTAAGGCACACAGGAAGATGCCCAGCACGCCAGAGAAAGACGCAGGGGAGAAGGGAAAGCAGCGGGCCAGGCCCTGGGAGCCACACCCTGGCTGTGCCGGTGGTGGGGGGAGAGAAAATGTAAGCACCTCGGAAGGAAGAAGAGCCAAGAGGAAAGAGGCAGGGGAAGGGAGATGCTGAGTTTCTGCATCTCTGCAACTAGGAAGCCTCTGCTCCTTGGGTAACCAGATCTCTGCTTTCTATCTCAGGGCCATAAACATGAAACCACCCAGCTCTAGGACCTGACAACTCCAAGTCCAGCCTATGTCGGGCCTCAGGCCAGTAGCTGCAAGCTGACTCTTCCCACTGCTCCTCCACCACACCCCGTCCAGTCCAGCCCACCCCCTCCTCAGGTTCTCCCAGGGCACACGCTGCCTCCTACAGACACAACTCTGCCTCCAGTGTGCGTATTGGGCGGGGGCACACACTTGGCCACTTCCTGAGCCAAGTCTCTCCTGGCTTGATAGGCTGCCTATAAGGTCTTGCTTGCAACCCCCAGGTCCCTAACTCCTCCCTCTCATCTTCATTACCAAAGGGAGAGCGAGGGAGAGCGAAGGGTCAAGGCCAGGCAGAGAGCAAAGGGCCCTGGTCCAGCTACCAGCAGGATCTGAGTCAGAACTCCACTTTATTTGGGGAGACACTGTAGTCAGGTATAATCCAACCACAGAATCGGTGGTAGACAGGAGGAAGGAGACTTGGAAATCAAGGCCCAGAGTCAGCTAAGCATGGCCCAGAGTCCTCCCCCAACTTTGCTCAGTAAAAAATGCTGAGACTCCTAACACCCCAGACTCCGGATAGTTCTCTGGTCCCTCTCTCCTCCACACCCCACCCCCAACCCCAGGAGCCCATCCCTACCACTGTCCCACCCCCCTTCATCCCTGTGCTTGAGCAGCCCCTGCTTCCGGCAGACCCCAAGCATGGCATCTCAAAGTCCCGCCCCCTCAGGAATCTCCCCGGAAGTCACCTCTGCCAGTCAGAGAACAGCTGAGCTCTCACGCACAGGCGGCGTTTGAACACTGCTGTTTCTCATGTGAGCAGGCGCCTGCCACGCAGGGCCCCCCTTTTCCCTCCCTGCAGAGGCTCTGAGGCTACGCGACCTGCTGCGTTCTTCCCACAAGCCTCTGGCCACAGGCAAAATCCCCTTTTTGCAGACTTTTCAAAGGATTTCCAAGCAGCCCAGAAGCCTGCACGCCCTCCACACATCTCCCTGGGCTGCGGAGGAATATGAGGCTCCTCCCAGGCAAGGTCAGCCTATGAAAGGGCACTTGGTTCCTAAGAGAGGCAGCCTTCTGACCCTCCCCCCACCCCAGGACACTGCTGGTTCCCAGTGCCCTGAACGGCCCTGAGGGAAAGAAAATGAGAAGCCTCGAACCCCAGAGATAATGAAAAAATAATAAAATGTTAACATTTATTGAGCACTTACTATATAACAAGGAGTCACTCATTAACAACAATATTAACATTTATTGAGCACTTACTATATAACACGTAGTCACTCATCTCTTAGCACTAATATTCACAAAAATCCTACAAGTTCATCCTGTTAAACCCCATTTTCCAACGAGGCAAAGGACACCTAGAGAGCTTAACCACTTGTCCAAGGTCACGAGGCCAGCAAGTTGAATCGATGCTGTTTGACTCTAGTCCTAGGTTCTTAACCACTACATACAAACCCTCACTAGGCTAAAAAGACCCCAAGACCAAACAGGAGTGGCAGACAGGGGTGCATGTTGAGCCATCCCAAACAGAAGGCCCTCTCCACACCCAGAAAGAAGGCATAACCTTCACGCCCAGCAACGTGCGATATCAGGAATTCCTTCTTTCTGCCTGGCCATTTTGTGGGTTGCTGCAATATAAACCCGTTTTCCTTTATTCTGTGCTTAAACTTGCAGTCCCCTCACCGTTAGTCCCCAGCTGTGGAGGCTATTTCAGAGCCTCCCTTCAGTGTCTCTTTTTTATTCAAAAAGCCCAGCATATCCTTTTGTGCTTTCAGAGACAGTCCCGTAACAGGAACACACCAAAAACTGGAGGGGAGGATGAGGGCATTAGCGCACTTGACCCACCTCACACCCATCCCCACTCTGTGGGCTCCTTGCAGTCTCCCTGGCCTCAGTTTTCCCATCTGACAAGTAGAGTTTTAAAACCATCCAGGTCAACATACCATTTAACAAAATCACCCTTCCCCCAGCCCTTCTCTGGTTGTTTCCAGACGTCCCCCTCCTCCAATAGCAGGGGAGGTATTCCATTCCAGAAACTTTCTCAAATCCCTTCCCGCTCCCCCTCCACAGCCCCAGACAAGGTGAGGAGAGGACGCTGTAAAAGGTGCCTCCTGCCCACACCTTCTTCTGCCCTAGCGCCGCTGAGAGTGGGTTCTCTCCTTGGCGGGTTCTCCCTGCTGACTTCCATCCAAAGACCGGTTCTCTCCGGCAGCCATCTCCTCCAGGCTTTGTGAACTTGTCCGCTGCTGGGTCGTGTCTGAGAGCCGAGAACCGTGAGCTCAGAGTCCTGGCACCCTCCAGGCTGCGCTCCTACTTCCATACAAGGGCCGAGAGCTGGGGGTGCCACCCAGCGGCTTGTAGGTCGCTTTGCCCGTCTCCGGAGCAAAAGCCCGCGCGTTCACGCGCGCATCACCCAACTCGTCGGCTTCCCTCTAGTCTCATCCCCAGCTCAGACGAAAGACATTCCTGGGCTCCAAGATGCAGCAACGGGGACCCCCTCCCCCGCTACTCTTGGCCCCAGCCAGCTGTTCCTCGAAGCCTGGGAGGGCGACCTGGAGTCAGCCTGGCTGCGGCGCGCTCTCAGGGAACTTTTACCTGGCCGGGCCCAGGTAGGGCTCAGACAGGCGCCAGTGCCTGATTTGGCTAGCCAAAAAACGGACACTCCTCGGAGCCCACCTAGGGACACCCGCTGTTCGCCTCTCTTGGGTCTACGTGCACCCCCAGCCCTGAGAGGAGGATTCAACCTCTGGTTGCCAAGATTTGTGGTCAGGAGGGGCGCAGGCTGGAGTGATGGGCGCCCCCAGGGCGGACAACCCTGTCCCTTAGCCTTGTGTGAAGTCCCAAGGCTCTGGGTCGCGCCTCCCTGCAAGGGCTCGTCTGCGGAGCGGTGGCGCGAGAGTGCTGCAGCCTGCCCAAACACCCGCAAACTCCCCGGCTTCCAGAGTTAGGAAAGCCGCTGACTCCCCACCCAGCCCTCAAGAAGAGGGCATCGGGCTCCAGTTAAGGGCATCGGGCTCAGCACGCCGGTGTAAAAACCTGGAGCCGAGTGTGAGCAAAATCAACCCCGATCCCTAGGTGTCTTTTCCCCTGTGCCCGGCAGCCCGGGAAGTGGGACCTTATCCCGCCTGACCCTCTGGCCCGCGGGCCCCGGCCCTCCCCAGCAGTGTCCCGGAGCGCGCCTGGCCGGAGCCCGAGCCTCACCCGCAGAAAAGGCGCGGCGCTCTGAAGGGCCAGGGAGCCTGAGGCGGAGAGGAAGGGGATGAGAACATCGGGAGGGGCAGAACAGGGACGCTGCACTTCAACTCACCTTGAGCCGCAAGACCTCGGGTGCTGATCACACTTGCTATCAAAGTGGCCACATACCAAATCATAGTACTACCGCGCGCCAGCCAAGAACCTCATCCTATCGCAAAGTGCTCCTGCGCCGCACACTTCTCGCCCGAGCGCTTGCTCACGCCCGCTCGACCCTCCTACGCCCCGCGCTGATGTTCCTGCAGTCTGGGTGGCCCGCTCCCCATCCCTCCGCGGCTCCGCTAGGCTCGGCGCGCAGGCTCCCGGGGCCGGCGCAGCGGCACCTGCACTACCAGCCCAGGCAGAGCGCAGCCAGAGCCACGATGAAGCCTAGCAGCCGGGCCTCCGGCTCCGCCCCCACCTCCCGCCCATTGGTCACCGCCCACAAACCTCAGAGACGATTGGCTTCTGGGCCTGCCCGTCACAGCTCGGAGGCGAGCCCATTTCAAGGTGCGTTGAAGTGTAGCCAGCACAGAGCCGCAGAATCATGCGCATTGCCAGAGACAAGGCGTTGTAGCGACTCTGCTCTGTTCCCTTCTTTGCTCACACGGCATGGCAAGTTTCTGGTAAAATAAATGGTAGCTTTTCTGGCTTGATAATGGGACCCTGTGAGTCTCAATTACCCATGACAGTTCTGAGGGGACGTTGCCCCCGCCCACCCAGGGAACCCAACATCCGGTTTCCATCCAGCTAAAAGCAATTCCCGAGAGTATGATGCTGATTCAGTGATGGGGAAACCCAGGAACTGGCAGTCTGGGAAAGCTCGGGAACGTCCTTCGCTGGAGATCTATCTTTTCAAAGAGGTCATGCGCAACCTCCCCCACCCCCAGCCCCTTCCTCGCACGGACACACTTCCCTCAGCAATGCACCCCTCCTACCCGAACGTGATGTTAAGTTAAGCTCCATCCAGCCTGAAGGCAGGGGGATGACTAAAATGACCTCTGAGAGTCGCTAAGATTTAGAATGAGTCATTGGTTCAGCGACAGGAGTGTCAGGGACCCGCCTCTGGAACACAGACTGCCTCCCCCAGTGCGGGTCAGCTGTTGCTCATCATTACTGAATCTCAACTTCGAGCAATAAAAGTTGTTCCCCCAGCCCTTCTTCTAAAAAAGGCTGTCTCCTCATGTACAAGTTTCCTCCCCTCCCCACCTAACTGGGGCCTAGCCTCATGTGAGTGTCATGAAGCAAAAATGGATTTGGGGAGCAGTCTGGGGGTCTGGAACAGAGGGATAGAGAGAAAGAGGGAGGTGGGCTTTCTGTTCCCACAGAAGGAGACGTATGAACAGGGAAGGTCTTCATACTTCCCAGTCTCTCTACTGTAACCACTCCTCACCCCCTCCCCCAACACAGTAGCATTTGCAGAAGAAATAAATGAGTGTCATGGAAACTACAAACAATCACCAGCATTCTGAGGCTGCAGCAAAGATGGTTGTCCTTTCAGGAGTGCGAGCAATGGCAAGAGTGGCAGAGCTCCCTAGGATGGGCTGTTGGCCAAGGAGGGAAGGCAGAGGGGCAGCAAAGGGGAGAAGTTCAGCTTCTCAAAACACTTCTTGGCCACAAAGCACTGGCTGTAGGATGTGAAGCTCTCAGTAGAACAAGATTTGCTTCTGTGAACACACACATGTGCGCACACACACAACATATATTGACAGTGGCCTTGAATACTGGACAAACAGCTTTCCCTGAAACCTGAAACTTCTTAGCTCACTGCCAGCCAGGAGATGGAAAGCAGGGATCCCCAGCTGAGCAGCAAAGACACTGGTAAAGTTTTAGCATCTGGATGTAATCTAAAGAACCAGAACCCTTGAATAACCTCCTACTCGACCCACCCACTGCAGTCCTGCAAACACTCAAGATGCGTAACTTTGTGGGCACCCCTCACTGAGTCTTTGCTTTAGGTTCTCTTTCTCTGCGAAGATGCCTTTCTTGGGGATATGAAGTCAATGAATTGGGAGCTCTAGGCCCCCACGGATTGGCTAATTCCCAGATAGCATTCCCAAGAACAAGTCCACCCTCAATGTAATCACATTCATATGCTTTCCAGGGTCCTTGCACTGTAAAGCCTGCTGAGATCCATTTGCAGAGCTGGCAACAGCAGGATTCTTCTCCTTCCAAAACCTCTAAGCAGCTAACTGGCCTAGAGACATATGCCGGACTCCTAAGGGCTAAGCCCCAGTTCCTAGCTCTTTTTAGATACAAATAAGGCAGAGGAGTGACAAGCATCTATGCTCAGAGAAACATTCTTCTAGTGGCCTGCAGAGTAAGGAAAAGGATAGAGCCACTCTCACCATCATCATGACTGATTTGCTGGCCATCTACTTTGTCCTACTCGGTTTGCTGGTTTCTGCTAGGGAATTAAAACTGTCCGATTGAAGGGAGAAAAAACACATAAAGAGCTTAAGAGCACGAGTTGGATTGAGAAAAGCTTCGAAGAAACTATCTAAAAAGGAGATCAAATTTCTTCTAGATAAATCTATTGGAAAGGGAGTGGAACAAAGGAGTAAAGGCAGAGAGAGGGAAGAGAAGTTAAGGTACAAAGGGGAATGTTAGCATTGTCACCAGACATGTCTCAGTTTGGTTTCATGTCAGCTCAAAAGAGACACGCAGTATTGGGTCACAGTGAAGACTGAGACCAATTAAGTCTTTCCCTCTTGGCATATAACTGATCTCCGGACCCAGGAAGGATGGCAGCCCCTCCAGGGCATGGCTACATCCAGTGGAGCATCGAAGGTGAGCACGTAGATCCCAAGGGTCCGAGAGGAACGTGAGGGAAGAATGTGAACCATTTCATGAGCAGCTCATAGGTATACCTGGTTAGTCATCCATGTCACTAACAAATGCAGTGCATGTACATTGGGTATGAGAGTATATGTGATCCTTTCTACTTTCTGGAAACACAAAATGCTAGTCTTACTAGTTACTCTGAAAAACCACATCCAGCCACACATCCCCACAGGCCCGTGGAGGAGTGAGAAAGGTGGCCAACAGAGCCGCAAGTCTACGAGAAGGGGAGACCATCCTGCTTCTTCCTCATAGGCACTGGGCAAAGAGGACTCAGCAACAGCGGTTCCCTTGTGTGCCGCCCCTGCCCGTCCTGCGTGGTTGCAGACTTCTTCGTGGAGTCTGGGTCGGGACAGTTGTTGGCACAGCAGCTTGTGAGGGGAGAGGCAGCTCTAACTGAAAACAATTTACCCAAAAGGAATACCAAAGAGCATACTGAGTGTTCATATCATTAGGAAACTGTATCAGTTATCTAGCCATATAAAAAATAACAAAATGTTGTGACTTAAAACAACAGTCATTTATTTGCTCACAGATTTGTAATTTGGGCAGGGCCTTGTGGGGACAGCTCTTCTTGACTTCCTATGACATCTGACCAACTGGAGGATGGGAGTCATACTTTCAGATGTCTCACTCACATGCTAGCGAGTGGATGCTGGCTGCTAGCCAGGACCACAGGCAAAGAACCGCAGTCCCTCTCCATGTGGGCTTCTCCACGGGCTGCTTGGGCTTCCTCACAGTGTGGTGGCCGGGTTCCAAGAGCTGGAATCCCTTTATGTCCAAGCCTCAGAAGATGCAATTCATCATTTTTGCCAAAGAAAATGACCTGCCCCGATTCCAAGGCAAAAAATACAGATCCCTACCTCTCACCTGGAGCAGTCTCCACATCCTGTTGTACCAAGTGCTGATGGGATGGGAGGTTGGGTTGTAGCCATTTGGGAATGACACAGTCTACAAAAGTTAACAAAAATGAACTATAGAAGAAATTCCTAGAAAGAAAGGGTTTGCAAACAAACCCTTTCTAGATCTTAGAATTTTTCACTTTAATTGCAGCTGCCACCACCAAATTCTAGCCTATTTGCGAAGTAAATCATTTCACCTTGTTTTCTCTTGATGTGCCAAGGACCAGTCAGCATGTTTTAAAAGAACTTGGAAGGAGAGAAGAAAATAAACAAAGGAAATTGGACTTCAGAAATATAAATATCTAATCTTAAGATCTGATACAGAAGAAGTGGAGAAAAGCTTTGCAAGATTCTCAAAACTCCTTAGCATAAGAATTTTTCACTTAGGCTCAGAATGTTCACAAAACTTTGTAGGCATCTTGCTTCACTTCCTCCTCTCCCAGAGCCCTGCTGTTTTTTCCGGCAGGTGGCCTCTGTTCGTAAGTTGTCTTTCTGGACTTAAGTAGCTATTTTAACGTCCACTTTGCTCCTCCAAAAATAAATTCCTAAAGACTCCTTCTTATTAAAACTCAAACTTCATTATGATTCAAATTTCCCAGGATATCCAGTGTTCCCCTGCTCGGCGGCAGCTCCCCCAAAGGCCGCATCGTTGGGGCGGTGGTGGCGGCGACGGGCCCGCTGACAGAGCCAGCCCTTCCAACCATCGCAGGATCACTGGCCTTACCCTTTCTTCTTGGCTTTCCAGGCCAGCTCTGAGGAGTCTTGAAGAAGACAGGTTTCATAAGTCTGTGGCTTTATCTGAGAATGTGGAAAGTAGGTTCTGTGCTTTGCGTCACATTTTTCCTGCAGAACTTGGGGTCCTGGTGACAGCCCTCCTTGTGCAGTGTCCCACAGAAACACGTGGCCATGAGTCTTGAGCAAGCCACCACTCTGCCCAGGGTTGATCATAGAAAATGTGATCTGCTGGACTCCAGGGGAACTCGGGCCCACCTGAACATGCTCTCACCTGTCCAGTACTGAAGGCCCAGCAGCAAGTTGCTGGAACAGGCAGGCAGCAGTGGCCCATACTTACACACTCTGGCATTCAGGAGTCTGAAGGACAGCTAGGTGTCAGGGCTCTGCTGACTCATCTGAGCTCTGGCCCTAGCAAGTAGGGGGCCTGGGTCATTCTTTTGTCTGCGTTAAACTTTCTCCTGTGTGGAAGAGGCAGTAGATGGCAGCAGGAAAAGGAAGCGGGTCTGAAGGTTCTTATGTGCTGTTTGTCTGTCACAGACTGTTCAACAGTCTCAAACAATAGTTTCTGTGTCCCTGTTATGTCACATAGAAGGATAATCGAACCGGGCCTTATTCTAGAGTTCAAAGACTCTTGAATCATCAGGGATCCCAGAAGAGTACAGGAGTTTCTGCAGAGGCACATGAAATCATGGATTGAAGTCACCGGCATCACTGAAATTGGCAAAAGGTTGACATGAGCAGAGGAGCAGGAAGTTATAGGGAATCAGCCAAAGAGCAAGTCATACCCTAGCATGACTCAAGAGGCAGAAAGATCAGAGACCTGGGCTCAAGAAGGAAGAGCTCTCTAATTA